TTCTCACTCCTGTCTTATCTATTCTCACTGAATTCTTGTTTATTAACACTTCTGCATTGAATAAATTCACAAAGTTATTGTTTAAATTTATTGTTTCTATTGACTGACTTTCTTCTTGGTTATAGGCCATAATTTTCTGCTTTTTCTCATGTTTAGTAATTTAATTTTCAGTTTTTCTTCTTTTCTAACACGTGTTTAAAGCTATAAATTTTACTCTCTATACTGCTTTAACTGAGCCCATATATTTTAAAATACAGTATGTTACTTTTCTAAATATTTTTATTTTTTATGTCTCATGAGTCACTTAGAAATAGGATTTTTAATTTCTAAAGGAGAAATTCTAAAACAACTTTTTTGCTATTTATTTCTAGTTTTACTGAGATCCTAGAACATACTGTATATAATTTTTATTTTTAGAAATGTTCTTTTTAGCCGGGCACGGTGGCTCAAGCCTGTAATCCCAGCACTTTGGGAGGCCGAGGCGGGTGGATCACGAGGTCAAGAGATCGAGACCATCCTGGTCAACACGGTGAAACCCCGTCTCTACTAAAAATACAGAAAAAAATTAGCTGGGCATGGTGGCGTGTGCCTGTAATCCCAGCTACTCAGGAGGCTGGGGCAGGAGAATTGCCTGAACCCAGGAGGCAGAGGTTGCGGTGAGCCGAGATCGCGCCATTGCACTCCAGCCTGAGTAACAAGAGCAAAACTCCGTCTCAAAAAAAAAAAAAAAAAAAAAAAAAGAAATGTTCTTTATAGAATGTGATCAATATTTTAAATGTTCTGTGTGTGCTAGAAAATAATGAAGTTATTGGGAGCAGTGTTCTATATGTGCCCCTTAAGTCAACTTTGTTCATATTTTCAATTCTTGCATATTTTTGATGACTTTTTGTTCATTTATAAGAAAGGTATGTAAAATCTATCCACTGACATTGTGGATTTACCTGTTTCTCCTCGTAGTCCTGTTAGTTTTTGCCTCATATTTTTTTATTTTGTTATTAGGTGTGTACACATTCAAATATTGTATTTTCCTAGTGAACGGAATTTTTTTGTATTATGAAGTGTGATTCTCTTTATCTCTAGTAATGTTTTGGACCTTAGAGTCTGTTTTGGTCTCATATTAATATAGCTGCACTCACTTCGTTTGGGGCTGGATTGCTCATTATCAACTAGGCATCATCACCATTCCCTTCATCATTTACCTCTGTTTCTAAGGGGAAGCTTAGAGCTGTAGTTCTCAATATCCCTCTCCTTTTATGATTCTGGATAAAATTCTGTCAGTGAGGGCCAACTGCTCAAGATTTGGAAGCTGCATAAGGAGCAACCATTTATCTTCCTGCGAATCATCCACTGTTGTTTTCCTGGATGCAGATTTCCTGTGAAAGCAGCTTGCTGCCCTTTGCCCCCAGTCTTGATCACCCATCTACTTCAAAGATTGTATATGCTTCTCATTCTCTATATTTAATAAATCTTTTTATTCAAAATGCCTAGAGAGGCTTCTGTTTTCCTGACTAAACCCTGACTGAAATTCTTGATATTTCTTCACACAACCTTTTACTTCCAAACAATCTATATCCTTAGAGGAGTTCTTGCTGTGTTATTTAGGCTAGATTTGAGCTCCTGGAGTCAAGAGATCCTTTCGCCTCAGGCCCCTGGGTAGTGGAACTGGGGCAGGCACCACTGTGCCCAGCTCTTAATGTTTGTGTGATACATCTCTTGTAAAAATAGTATGATTAGGCCGGGCGCGGTGGCTCAAGCCTGTAATCCCAGCACTTTGGGAGGCCGAGGCGGGTGGATCACGAGGTCAAGAGATCGAGACCATCCTGGTCAACACGGTGAAACCCCGTCTCTACTAAAAATACAAAAAATTAGCTGGGCATGGTGGCGCGTGCCTGTAATCCCAGCTACTCAGGAGGCTGAGGCAGGAGAATTGCCTGAACCTAGGAGG